CCCACCCTTCCCAAATCCTCCTCTTCTTGTTCTTTATCTGGGAAATGAGATTCAAATTTGCAGTGTGCCTTTTAACCACTGTAAAAGGACACACTAATCAAATTGTTCCCCGAATGAGAGAGGAAGAAGCTGCGTTTTTTATTAAAATCAGTTAGAGGTGGCGAGAGAGCTGGGGACAAGGACAGCCGAGATCTCTGTGTCAAAGACCTTGGTGAGAACTATTAAAAGAATATGACTTTGACACATGATGCTGTTCAAAAAAGACTCGATCTTCTGTATTCATCTAAACAAGTTCTGCAAGTGACATTTCAGAGTGACATTGTCAAGAAGAACAGATAATGGAGCCAAGCTGCCGATATCACCCGTGTTGCAGTAAGATTCTTGTAAGCGGGGCCTACTACCAAAATCAATGCTTCACAAACTGTACCCTTGAGACTACAAGCCATCATCCCTCAAGGCGCAGGAAGAAACACAGGAAACTCTTCAAAAGTAAAACTCAACAGCCCAGAGGAACTTGTGCGCTAACAAGCACCCAAAAGTTGCGCGGCAAAACATTATTCCCACACAAAGCTCGCCAACTTCCCAATCACTAACAATGTTTTTATCAATCCAAACTGTCCCCACCCTGGTGAACCATGTGACGGCTGGGTGCTTTGTCCACGTTGGGGAAGAGAAAACAGCCGTGGACTCTTTCATGGTTTCATGGGCCCTTACTTTATGGGGATCTCCTATTCAGTTGTGCAAGTCATTTTCAAAGCAGCCAGCCACCCTCTTATCCCCCTAAGCTCCCCTCACCTAACAATAGGCTGAAAGCGATTCAGTTAAGCCCTTTATACTCCATGCACTTTATTTTCTCACTGCCTTGCACTTCGAGCCTAACCACTCCTGCTATTGGCTCTGGAGGGTGGAGGAAAGAAGCTGTGGAGGGTTCGGGTGGGTGGAGGTGATTTTTTTGGGGGTGCCCTAGTCTGGCCAGGGGGAGTTCCTCATGCCTCGTCCCAAGGTCTAGAAATGAGTAACCCCTGTGAAAGCCTCACAGACACATGATCTCAGCACGCCGCAGAGGCCAGTGGCAGGAAACCGACCCACCATGTGAGTAAGCCTCCTTTCATTTGGTGCCAACATTTTTCAATGAGTTTGTCTTGAGGCCCGAATGGCCACTTCCCTCCCCCTCTCCTCCAGCTCTTCAAAGGGAAAAAGCGATTAGATAATATGAAAAAAACAAGTCTGTTGTGGCAGAAGGGTGGGTGGGATGGATACATTTCAACTTTGAGGAAAATGAGGCAACGCCCCCACCCACATCAAGACGTTCTCATTTTTTTCTCCCTTCTCTACAGCCTGTAACGCATCAGAATAAACTTCAAAAGGTCTTCAGACATAATGACTTTCCCAGAGTTATCTCCCCGGAGGCCACAGTAACAACTACACATTAATAGAGTTACCTGGAGTCAATCATAGACGATAATTAAAATACATTACAGACCATTATTTTGCAACAGTGCAGCCTGGCCCCAAGAAAAGCTGAGTCTGTTGAACGACAATGCCAAATATTTTGATTCTCACCCATAGACTTTTTCCTGGAAAGGTGTTGACTGAACTCTGGTCCAGGCACGTTTAGATACTATGGAAATACTAAAATTCACAGAGCTTTGGCCAGGATCAGCTGAATGGAAATGAGCCTTTTGAAGTTGCTACATTACCTCCAAAGCAAGGTGGACTGGAATGAAACTGACCTGCCAACTTTTTGATTTCAATAAAAACTAAATACACTTACACACTACTGTCCGTCATGGACATGGAATCGTCTGTCGTGGCATCACTGGAGATCTCGCTGTCATTGGCACTGGTGGCAGGGGCAAAAATGTAGCCAGAGTTGACAAAGTAGGGACTGGCAGGGTCTCCTCGACGGTGGGACCTGCAAAAGACCCAGGGAAACAGCCGAGTTTTAATGTGATATCTCTCTCAGTTGGGGTGTAAAGTGAAGACAGTGGAGAATAAAGTTTATTTGCTCTATGTTTCCTTTTGTTGTTCATTTGATCAGATTTTAAAAGCAAACGTGACAGCTTGGAGTTTGTTTTGGTGACGTTCTCTGCAGATTTATGTAATTAGAGTCACTATCATGAGACTTTGGGGCCTGAGGAATGTGACAACAGTATTAGAAATGGAGGTATGGGTTCTCTTTTTCTTTCACTCTCTTTCATGTCCCTCCTCCCTAACGTACAGGGGTTGTGTGTTTGGGGGGTGATGGTTGCAGTGAAGTGAGCAGCCTTGCTGTGTGTGAATGAACAACAGCATTTCCCTTCGTTTTCTCTCCTTTGCTATATCTCCACCCCTTTGTTTGGCCCAGGCCCACACTCCTGCACTTTTCCACTCTGAAACTCCACTCTCTCTTTCCTTCAAGTGTTTTCTCCTCCATGCTCTCCCACTTCTATCTCTCCCTCTTTCTATCATCCAGTCTGGGGCCCCTCCTTTACCCACTCTCCCCTGCTTTCCTTTCTAAAGTCTCCCTCTCTGTCTTTCTACTCTCTCCTGCTGTGTTGCATTCCTGTTTCAGTAGTGAAGGGGGTGGACAAGGAAGAGGGAGGGAAGAAGAGGAAGGGGGAACTTGAGCTTTAGAGAGGGAGGGAGAGAGGGAAAGGGGGAAGGAGGGCCCCTTTCTTTATGAGAATGCCTTCTGCCGGGAGTGCTGAGAGGAGAACCCCAGCATGACTAAAGCCGTAGGCCCCAAGCACAAACCTGACCTTTGGAAGGTCCGCGCAAAGAGTCAGGTATTTAGCACAGCTGGGCTCTCTGCCCCCCCTCCTTTCTCCATCTCTTTTCTTTCTTTCATGATCCCCCCCTTCCTGTCTTCCCCCCTTCCCCTCCTCTTGTCTCTCCCTGTCTCCCTCCAAAGCATGCTTAGTCTCTGTCAGACAGATTTTTTTTTTTTCAAAAAGGAGAGATAAAAGTGCTGGATAGAAAAGAAAGAGGAAGGAAAACACTGAGACGCACACACACAATCTGTGGCAAAGTGGGATCAGTGGTTGAGGCTGCGGAACTGAGCTAAGGATGTTTTGTTGTTGTGTTTTTCTATCACTTTGGAGTTGAGCATTGGAGGTTTCTCAAAAAGAGGGGAAAAAAGGAATCTGTGCAGTGGCAAAATTAGTTCCACATGTTTGAGATGGAAATTGGTTGACCTAAAGAGATGGTGAGGGGCAGGGGGAAAGGGGGAAAGGGGGAGAGAGCGGGTGACGGAAGGAAGAAAGAGAGGGCTCTCTCCCTCCCACTTTTCTTTTAGAAGAAAAACAAGAATGCAGGGGATCACACCAGGAAACCAGGAGATGCCCACATGTCAACAAACTCTGTGCTTATTGGTTCCTGACGCAACACGGCCAACTGTGCTATGATGTTATCTGACATCTGCTCACATGAAGGATAAAATCCTCAAGGGAATGTTTAAGTTGAGTTATTAGACTTAATCAATTAGTCGTTACACTGTTACAAAAAAAAATCATGCTGGAGACAGTTTTGAATTTCTAGTTTGTTTAGTTAACTTGACAGGGAAAGTACGGATTATCTATAAATTGCACTTCTCCTACAAAACCAAAGTAAAAAGACACTGTCAAACCTCTAAGTAACAATTGCGTCCAGATGTGAGGACAAAGTAGTTGAAAGTTGAAAAACTTTTGAAGTGCCCTTTGATGCAGGCTCATGCATAAAATCCAGTTTTTGAAAATGTTCCTGGCTTGAAAAGATTTCAGCTGTTGGACAATGTGTGGGACGAACTCTTAAGATAAAAGCCCAAATGCTTTCCACAAACAGTTCTGCTTTCATCTCTGACCAAGAGAACAATATCTCCGCTTGGCATAAGACTGACTGCACAAGTTCTTTTAACTCTGTATTAGCGTTTGGTTGGGTTAGGGAGATTTTGTGACAGTGTACAATCTAACTATAAGGCTTAGTGAGTAGGAAAAAAAGAGAAAATCCAGCATAACTTTACAATAGCATCATACTGTTTCATGTCGCTGTAACAGTCATGAGGCTTGGTGTCTGAATCCGTGCCTGAACCAGAGGAAGGGTTTCAAAGCACAGGAAACTTGAGCAAGCCAGCAGAGGGCTGCCTGCAAGACACCATTTACTTAAAAGGAAGGCTCAGATCCATTGATGTTTTGTACCCACCCCGCCCCTCCACCCCTCCAACCCCTTGACTAACTGCAAGGCAGGAGGGCACAAATATACAGGCATGTTCCTCTGAGAGCCTTTGATCAAGTGCCTTTATCTCTCTCTGAGGCATTTGTGAAATAACTGCCACACATTCACATTAGTTTTCACTAATGAAGGAATGGTGATCAGGAGGAGGGTGAGCAACACTAAAAAAAAAAAAAAAATAATCGACATGCACTCACTAAGATGTACTAAGAGGGGCATGCGTGCTCTAGGTGAGCTCTTACCTGCAACTGTTCTCCAGCACTTCAGCTGCTGTCCGGATGGTAGCAGTAGCCCTCAGGGTTTTCGCAGACAGTCCAACCACAGACCCTAATGCTTTTGCCTTCAGGTCGTTACAACTCCACTCCTCTTCCTCCATGAGAGGAGGAAGGTATCCGCACATCAGCTTGAGGCTGCCGAGACCGCCGTGGTTCATGTACGCCGCGTTCTCGCAGCCGGTGCGCACATATTCGAGGTATATGTCAGAGGTCAAAAACATCTGGTATGCATTCTCTTCCATGTTGGACTGAATTTCCGTCTGTGCCTGGTCAAACATGGCAGAGTCTATTTGTTGTTTCTTAATACTATCCCTTATGAAGGTCTTGGTGGCGGGTTTCAGCTGCTTGGCGACAATGCTGTTGTTCTCGATGTACCGCTTGAAAATAACTTTGGCAACTCGCAACGTTTTGGTATCCTTTAAGTCCATTTGCCTGAAGCCGTTGCAGGCGAACCAAAAGTCCAAAGTGTCCACGCAATTCTCCCGCTCCAAGAAGGTCCTGAAGAGGTGAGCGCCGTCTTGGTCGCCCAGGAGAAAATGCAGAGACTTTGTCCACCGGACTAGGGGCGAGTCCGGGGACGCGCTGCCCTCTGGCTCCCCGAGACCATCCTCGTTCCTCCGCGGTGTGGAGCCGGGAGGCGCGGCGGCAGCGGGGGTATCTTTAACCTTGCTCTGGGCTCT